GCGACTTGACAGACATCTGCAAAGTCCTTATAAAATGATAGAATTTAAAAGAGTCTTGAAAAAGCATGGTGATGGCAATAAATGCATTAATGAATCCCCAAAATCTACAGAATACATTTAATTTCAGTATCTCAGGTCAGTAACACTCAAAGCTAAATGTGCAATACCATGTTCAACTATGTTACTATTTATAATGTTATTGTTGTTACAACAGAAGATGTTTTTCTTTATATTGAAGTTAAATGCATCAATCTGGTGCACTTTGAGGTCAAAATTAAGAGATTTATGGATACAGCTCTCAACACTCATATGAAACAGAACTGTTATAATAATGAAGAGAAACTATGAAATAAGAAATGAATCAAATTAAAATATAATTATATTAATCATATCATATATTATATAGTGTATTGTATTATTAAGTAATATCATACATTAACCCCATTATAGCAGATGTCACATTGAATGGATGCACACATTTATGCATCAATAATTACAACAGAGTATTTCTAAATACAAGTTGTAAAAATACTTATATGTATTTAATACTAATAACATAATGATTCATTTTACTTTCAGATGATAATACTTTTCAGGGTTAGGGTTAGGTCCGGTCTGACAGCGCTTAGCTCTCTGCTGCAGAGAGGAAGAGAATTCACTGCTCTAAACAAAGTCAAAAATCGTACATCCAAACGGAATAAATATAATTAATTATTATTAATACGTTAAGTCTTGTTCATTGTTTTTCACTTTTATGAAATGTTTGATATTTCCGGCACAGACCCTTTCATACCGGCAATGCGCGATAGAAACAACAGGAACTGCGACAGCATAAATATGCAAACACAAACCTACAGACTGCTGGAGAAGAGATATCACAGGGGGGGGGTTGGGACACACATTCCGATGGCCAATTAGTTTTAAACAAAGAGTATACTCAACATAGGGGGGTGGGGGCTGGTGAACGGTATGGTCAATGTTTGTAAACACTGTGACATTTTGACTTTATTTGATCATTTCAGTTAAAAACTAACGTTCATATTTCTCTTTTTGAGAAGAGAAATATGAATATGTTAGTGGCTGACCCAGCCCCATGGTCTGTCACAGTAGTGCGGGAAAGAGAAGTGCACTGTTTTGCCTCGCTGGACCTGTAATTTACAGGAAAGGAGTGCACGCTACTAAAGAGACACGCTACCATGGAAACCAAACAATGGTGTTGCTGTATTGAAGTCCGAGTGGAAACAGTCATATTTGGAGCGTTATGTTAGAATGAAACAGCCAGGTCGTGACTCACAAAAAAAAAGTGTTACTTCACTAACTGTAAGCTTGTCACTCAGAGTAACCTACAGTTAACTTAACTGTTAGAAAAGAAAGATCAGGGGGGGAGAGAGCTGTGGCTGATGGACCATTAGGTGTGTAAACACACAGCTGAGAGCTGCCGTTTCATTCTGACTGTTTAAAAAACGGTAACAACGGACTATTTTTCTCCGCTACGCGTCGGGATCTTGATCTGCCTGACAAGGCTCCATTAAAATATAAATATTTTTAGTGAATTACTGAGTTTAGGCACGTTAATAACATTTCAATGAAGTTGAATACAGTATATTCATATTTGTCAGTGATTTCATGTCAATTCGGCGAACATAAACATAAATGATCGTGGTGAAGATGATGATTAAATTAGGATTAAAAATCGAGAGCTGGCTGCATTTCCTCTCGTTAGTTTTTTTCGACTAAACAACATTATTTTGTTAAATAACAACATGGTGATGTTTTGTAAATGATTACATGTCTTATTTAGCACAGACTATGATCCTATCCGTGACATATGGATCTTAACAAAGATCCGCTATACATTAGTACCAGACATACTGTACATCCAGCTTACTGTATCGAAGTTGATTTCACATGAGCTCCAGTGTGGAACCCCACTGCACCCCCTGGTGGATCAATGATCCATTGCAGCTGGCTTCACAATAATTAAATGTATTTATCACGGGGGCGGTATCAAGTCAGACTGGGGGCCGGCTCTTCATCACGAACCGATCACGGGCCGATCACGGACCAATCACGACCCAATAACGACCCTCGCGTTTCAAACTGTCTGAAATAAGATGCTCCATCTGTATTGCGCTGGGTTATTTTGCTGCTCTTCTTCTCCCACATTCCACATCACAGAAACTCCGTTCAAACATCAAAACGTTCAATGGACACGGTCCGATCGTCCCCCAAACTTCCGCTTGTATATCACCGGTCCATGCTGTTGCCATGGAAACGCATCCCTCGCCATAAAACACAATGTTGTCGTGATACCTATGCAAATGGTCTAAAACAGCACCAGACTTCAGATAATGGTTAATGGTCCGGCCCTCAACAGCTCTATGTTAATTATGGGGTGTCATCATATGCCGTTTCCATGGAAACGCATCCCTCGCCATGAAACACGATGTCGCTGTAACTCCAATGGACACGGTCCTATCGTCCCCAAACTTCGCTTGTATATCACCGGTCCATGCCTCAATGCTCGCCATGAAACACGGTTTTCTCATAACTTCAGTGAAAACAGGTTTGGTAACGATGCAGCCATCAACATATCTAAGCGTATTATGGGGTGTCATCAAATACCGTTGCCATGGCGACAGATCATTCGCCATCAAGTTAGTTCAAAAGTTTGCAGTTCAAATATTCTGCTGCTTTTCCAAGCCTTTTTACTTTCTTTTCTTCACTCATCACACATTCAAGCCCCCAGTGTTCATGTATCATTTCAATCTAAATTCTTCACTTTCTTCTTACACATTACATTTCAGCATAGCAGTTCAGCATCAGCTTTTCAGCATAAAGCATTCCCACAAGCAATTTCTTCAGGAATTGCATTCTCTAGTTTTAATATGATTTCCTGTAATTATGAAATACAATAAAAAACTGTTACATTTTTCGGGGAAAAACTGTAAAAAAACATTTTTTTTTTAGAGTGTAGGTTGACCCTCAATGACACTGGTGAACAGCTATAGCTTTTCTCAGGCATTTCTAGAGGCAACAAATATCATACATGTGAATTAAGATCATTTGTATTGACTTGGAAATGTAACATTGTGATGTGAAGATGTATCTAACCACTAAGGCTTCACTTAAAAAAAAAAGGGGGGGAAAAAGGCTCAATAGCTCTGAAGTATATTGCTAAAGACTCACTGAGGGTCGTCAGAAAGCTGAATAACATTGAGTATACACAAAACGCAAGATCGAAAAATAAGAGACAAAAAGGCATTGTTATATTTGTCAACTAATGATGAAGTCCAAGAATTAAATACATTTTGTTTTGGACACTTATCTTCCCGCAAAACATGTTGTTGAAGGCTGTCATGGTATCTCTGTTGTGAAGGACATGTCTGGTGTGCACGCTTACATCACATGCAGCAGCTGGATTGCTCCCACACTGTTGGCAGATGTGCCTTGCCACATTTTCTCGTGCTGCTGTGGTGTTAGCCTCAAATCTATGAGTTGTTACATCATATTGTAAAACTTGATTAACACTTCTCAGTATGATGTAGTGTGACATAATAATTCTGACAATAATTGATTTAACTCTAAAAATGTAACATTATGTCCAGTGTTACTTTTACACTCTGAAGATTAGCACTAACTGACTGAGTGTGACTATTCTCTTTTCTATCATACATGCTGAGCAGTCTGCAGCAGATTATTTGATTGCCTCTTTTTTACCTGCAAATAACAAATAAAGGAAAAGCATTCTTTTATTAACACCATCCACACAAATTGAAAAATATTATCATTGTATAAAACTACATTTAACTTGTGCTTTAGTATTTATATTGGACGTTTTTTTATTTATTTATGTTATCTGAAGTTGTATTAGGTTTATTCGTAGGTTACTTATTTTCATTTTGCATCTCCAGATAGATTTTCTATAAATCTTTACTCGCATCTGGGAAGAGAAATTACACTTGTGAGGTTTAATTGTTCAAGAACATTCTATGATTTCAGATAGAGCATCAGGAAAAAATATCTTTTTGACTAAGTTTAATGTTTGTAAATATTGAATCAGAAATCATCCTAGATATTGACCTAACATTTATATAGATACCTGTATCCTAGGAGGTATCGGACACTAGCTAAAAGTTGAAGGAGATTTGTTTTGTCCTTGCGGTTGTAGTCCAATTTTGCTACATAAGAAAAACAAGAAAAGGCAGAAAAACTGTCTTTTGTTTACAGAAAAGTATGGCTTTGGCGAGTATTGCCTTTAATATAATGTGTGCTCATTGCAGACACCTTTCCTCCCAATATCACTGATGTTCTAGATGGGTATTACTCTGGGCAGTTGTATTCACCAGCTGCAAAGTCCTCCTGTCCATGGACACTACACATCCATGTTTCCAGTCAAAGCGTTTTCTATTGCTCTTCTGTAATAGTTGAACACGTGTCTGCCTTTCATGATCTGCTTTCAGACACATTTCTCTCCCTGTAGGAAGTCACACGTTATACTGCCCTAATAGAGAGTAACACAACGACCCTCTCCTTGGACTTAACAAATAATAAAATGTTAAATGCAATAGGTTTCTGTATTTAGCACATTTAAACACATGAGCAGTTGCTGGCATTGATGTATACTCACTGGTTTTGGATAATTAAATGTTTGAATGCTTAAAATTATTTTAATTTAATCTGCATTTTTGGTAAAGTCCCTCTTGCTAGATCTGAATAAAGGATTGTGCTGCTGTAGTCCTCTCATCAGATATTGGATAAAGGGACCAATAGGCCAAACTATCCAAAAAGCTCAAGGCCTAACATTCTAAGTCTGCCATGTTGTAAAATGCTAATTGTGTAGCAGGTTGTGTAGCAGGTTGTGTAGCAGGTTGTGTAGCAGGTTGTGTAGCAGGTTGTGTAGCAGGTGCTGTGGTCGATGTGTGGTGGGAGGGTGGGATGAAGCTGATAAGAGGTTTGCTGGCCTTTAAAAACGTAAGGAAAAGCACACAGTGTGCAGAGAGACAAGCATCAGGACTACAGGTAATACTGCACTGTTCATAATAATAATAATAATATTGTTAAAATGTTCCTGTCATTTTGCTTAGAACAGCGTTTGTGCTTTACCTTTTCATTTCTTCAAAGTAATCTGAGCCCGGGGACCATGTGTTCTTTGTCTAGCAGCAGTATTCACATTTTATCAAACATTTTTTTTGGGTCTCAACAACCGGCATGTTAGCTCAATGTGTTGCTCATGTTTGTCACTGTTTTGCGATCATTGCACATGTCAGGAAAAGCTAAAGCTTGAATTGCAATGCAAACATCTGGATGCCAGCTACACATAGTGAGCTGATGACATGTTTGTATAGACTCTTCTCTTAATAACAGTTTTAAAGATACTGTAAAAGGAACAAGACATTAAATAGTTTATAGGAAATAAATGACATGAACCATTAAGGTCAAATGCAATGGTGTATACACCTGCTAAATAAATCATTAGTAGTTTGAAAGGAATTTCTTTACTATCATTTAATTACATGTATCTCCTTTTCTCAACCTTAAAAAGGGACTCTATACCTGGGCAATGATATTTGATCCTTGACTTGTCTCAGCCCAGAAAGGTTTTAAACTCATTATTCTGCAAAGTGAGTCTGCAAGTCAATGCTAGTTTGCAGAAATGTCCTCTCCTCCTACCCTAGGACTTTGCTCCTGCACAGCAGTCTAAAAGACAATGAGTGAAGAATTTGAAGTTGTTCAATTCCAGTTTCGTGTTTAAACAAGAATCGTTTTTTTTTTATTAATTAAAGCTCCAATTTGCCCTTTATTAAGGATTACGTTTTTATATCTGTCTTTAAAAATGAATATGCTTTTTTCAAAGCAAATATGAAAATGTATGTAAAAGTACATGTTTGAGGGTTTCATCCTTCTCTGTCCAACACTGACTAACGTCTGAAAAAAAAAAATATTCGCTTTGGATGAAAGCGTCTAACAAGTAACAAGTAATGTAATGTAACTGTGGTGTGGTATACACCATTTTTAAACTTAATTTAAGATTTACATTCTAAGTTTAAGACAAAGTCACTAATATATTATGTCTATTTAAAGCGAATGATTCTTATTGTAAGCTTTCTTTGCTAATTATAAATCTTAATTTACGAAATACATTCTCAGTCAACTCAACCAAAACACTAATTTTAAGTTATTCTTTCTGAAATAATGCAGGAATCATTGCTTGAAATAAGCATTTTTGTCTAGTTTCAAGGCCCATTACGGTCTTTCAGTAGCTAGATTTTAATTCTAGTTTTACGAATTTTTTTAAATTTTTTTAAATTTAGCCTTTATTTATACAGGTGTAAAATCTCATTGAGACACAAGGTCTCATTTTCAAGAGAGACCTGTCAGTGGTAACACTACCACACAAAGTTACAGACAGACAGGACACTAAACACAGAGGCAACACTAAAATACAACATCGTAAAAAAAGTAGTTGAGACAGGAACATCTGACTGGATTCAAGAATAATAAAGACATGTATCCTGATATTGAAGATCAAGCCGGTGACCAGTGATATTTTTCTAACATGTTCATCTTCCACAGCTTCTGCAGCCATGGCCTCCTGTTCTCCGCTCCTGCTCTTGGTCCTGTGCACTCTGACAGTGGCTGAAGCCCAGCTCAAGGTGTTTAACATGCGGGCCAGCAAACTTGATTCAGGCCTTCTGGGAACTCCGGATGCCTATGTCGAGGTTTTTTGTGGATCTGTCAGTCTGGGTGAAACATCAGTTCGCCACAACAACCGAAACCCCTGGTGGGAGGAAGACTTCACTTACTTCAACACCCAAGAGAATGACACGATGAGGCTTGAGATTCATGACCAGGACATCGGGTTCGATGACCTGCTTGGAGTCTGCCAGCGGCAAATTAAGCTGGGAACCCATGAGCACGAATGCTTTCTTGAAGAAGGTGGCTCCCTTCATTACACCTACACCCTAAGCTAATTCAGTCAGTAAAACTTCAAAGATGTATCCGACCATAAGTCTTTACATGCAGCCTTTGATTCTCTCAGACTGGCTCTGAGAAACAAACAAATAGATTTGCTAAATATGTTGTTCTGGTTTCTGCCATAGAGCTTCTTTGGCTATTCTTCCCTGTTTCAAAGGTGATTAACAAAAAATAAAGGGTGCTGAAACAACTCAAATGTGTTTCATGTAATTCATCATGATATTACGAGTATATAAATGAATGATTCCATATTCCATATTTTCCATGTCTAACCTTCAAAACATATTCTTAGATAGAAATACCAAATGTTTTGTTATTTAGACACAATTAACACTTATAGTTTCACGTCTTGTTACATAAGAATATACCATATTTGATAAGTGTTATTATGGGAGAATTACTATTCTTGTGGTACTACTGCCTCATTAGGCCCATATTGATCAGAGCATATTTAGACCCAAACTCATGTTCAACAACTTCCTTACTTGCAACAAATCAGCACTAATTAGAGGGTTATTGAGGAAAAACTCTCAACTAATGGCTTATTACTTGTAGAATACGGTCATGTAGAATAAGGCATTAATAAGTGTTTTATAATGACTAATAAAGAGCCAATATACTGCTAATATGCATGTTAATTAACAACTAGTTGATGGTGAATGTCTGTACCTTAATTTACACATATAAATCATGAGTCAAAATAGGGCTAAATTTGATTGAATTATAAAAGGTATATGTGGTCAAATGAAGAGCCGTTTGGGAGCCGAAAGAGCCGGCTCTTCTTCGTGAGCCGAGCCACACGATCCGGCTCACGAAAAAGAGCCGTAATTCCCATCACTACCACACACATAGGGGGCGAAGCCTGCGAGCTAGTTCAGGCAGTCAACTCGAGCACCAATGATACATTAACACGTGACGCGCCTCGTCCCTCTTACAACCAACCAAACACATTCTCCTTAACATGCCGCTCTATTTAAGCTGCCAGTTTTTTTTTTTTATTGCTGCTGCCACTGCTGTGTTTCACGTTGCTGCTGCTCGCCTGCCGCACCACCACCCCAGCTTCCACCCCAGCTTCCACCCCAGCTTCCACCCCAGCTTCCACCCCAGCTTCCACCTGTAGGCTCGGGGGGTAGTAATCTAATCATCACTCAATGTTCTTTTTAAATCTGTGGAGTGATGAGGCCCGAGCCTAGACGCCAAACTCAAACTATATGCTGCTTCCAATAAAGATATTAAGAAACATGTGAGTTGTCTGACTGAAATATAATGTTTCCTACGAAAATATTCTGTAGCCTGACTCTGTGAATCCTGTCTATACAAGTGTTGCTAGGAAATAGTAAGGACATTATTGTGTACAGAAAAAAGGGTGGCGCGCAATAGTTTATTTGTATCTGAAAAAAATGTCCATCACTTTTTAAAACAAAGGCCCATTGAAGGTAAAAACAACAAATAACATATTTATAATAATATCATTTTTATTATTATTTCGAAATGTTATTCTGTAACTTCAATCTCAGAGAACTTGAGTTTTTGTAATAACATAATATAGCAAGTAGTTGAAAGACCACGTCACTTTGGTATTTATGACATGTTGAGTGATTGATTCATGACCCCCCATAAAACCTTAGTCCCGCCCCTAAATCCCTTTGATGTGACAGGTGTCAGTGCACCTGTTGTGGTGACCCCTAATAAACCATTGTCTTTACTCTTTTATGACTTGATTGTTTAGCTGGTTATTGTTGTGTATTGGCCCCTCATAAAGTATTGTTCCTAAAAGGGGGGTAATAAGACTTTATTGACCCTTTGTCTGTGCACCTGTTGTAGTATCCCCCTAGTAAGCCATTGTAGTCAATGACGATGTATGATTGTTTTGGTCACCTTTTGTTGTTGTAATGCCGTCTATAAGGTAATGCTCCTTAATAGTGGGGTAATCATACTTATTGACCCTTTGTGTTAATATATGGTTATATGACATTTAAGGATGTCTCATGAAGTTGTATAGGTACACTGTAAAACAATTGTAAAAAAAAGGAGATTTTCTGGTGAACTTCTTGAATGCAAAATGACAGATATCACTTGGGGTTCTTGAGACAGCTGCTATCACTTAAAGGTGGGGTAGGTAAGTTTGAGAAACCGGCTGGAGATACACTTTGTGTTATATTCCATGGAATGCTCTTAACATCCCGATAGCAATGAATATCTTAAGTGCTTTGACAAAAAATCCATACAAAAATGTCATCTGTGGAAGCTGTAATACTGTAAAAAGTACGACCAATCATTTTAGTCGGCCCGGCTAAAATAACTGGATGGCCTACCTGCCTGTCAGCCTTCCATCTGTCCACAAACTTATCTCGTGCCCTCATTGGTCATGTGCGCGTTCGTGTGTGTTGGAGGAGGGGCTCTGTAAGGAAGTGGCAGATTTTTCCGTCTATGTATTTTAAATTCTAGCGCACTCGAGCTGGTTTCTCCAAAATTACCTACCCTACCTTTAAACAAAGCTATGAATAAAGCTGTGAACAGGCAGTTTCCTTTGCATCCTGGAGCATGGTTTGGAGTCTGGTATCCTTATGAACTGGACATTTTGTGGCAGCTAAAGCGTCTTCTTCATCTGCAAACACTTGGGAAGAAAAAGACAAAGTCTTCCAGAATAAGACTCTAGAAGTCAGCAAACACTCTGTAGAGACCTGAACCCTGAAGCCACTTCAGCATGGAGACTCCTCTCTCTCTGATTTGGCCTCTGGTGAGACTTTAATATGTGGCCTGACATGTTTCCAGACCGTAGGAGAAGCTGCTGTATCTCTTACATCCAGCAGTCAGTACTCAGGTCCAGACTCTAATGTAAACTACATGTCGGTCGTTAACTAAATCCAGTGGTAATCTAAAGATGTTCAGAAACGGTGCAGGACTGTGGTACAAGAATCCAAAAATGACATCCTGTCTAAACATCAGTCAGGCTTCAGAAAGCAACATAGCACCATCACTGCCACAATGAAAGTGGTGAATGATATGGCGAGTATTTTAGATAATAAGCAGAGTTGTGCAGCTCTATTTGTTGACCTGTCCAAAGCGTTTGATACCGTCGATCATCGCATCTTGAAGCAGAGGCTGGTCAGTATTGGCTTATCAAGCCATGCAGTGGGGTGGTTTGTGAACATCCTCTCTGAAAGGTCCCAATGTGTTCACTTTGATGGGCTGTCTTCTGAGTGGTTGAACATTACTAATGGTGTTCCTCAAGGTTCTGTTTTAGGTCCACTTTTATTCTCCATCTATATCAATAGTTTAGGTGAAAGTGTCGATGGAGCAACCTTACATTTTTATGCGGACGATACCGTGATGTACTGTGCATGTCCCTCCATTAAGGAGGCGGTTGTTAAATTACAGGCTGTTTTTAACATTATTCAGACTCAGCTCTCTGAACTAAAGCTTCTTTTAAATGTTGATAAAACCAAGGTAATGCTCTTTTCAAAAGCTAAAAAGACACCAGAGCCTGTTAGATATTGTAACTACGCAAGGAATAAAACTTGAAGTGGTTACCTGTTACAAATACCTTGGTATCTGGCTTGATGATTGTCTCACTTTTAAACTTCATGTCAATAATCTGCTTAGAAAACTGAGGGTTAGGCTAGGTTTCTTTTTCAGAAACAAGTCCTGTTTCTCACTTGAGGCCAGGAAAAGGCACTGTGACCTTTTTACCTGTACTGGACTATGGTGATCTGATTTATATGAATGCACCTGATCAAGTTAGATGCCGTCTATCACAGTGCACTGAGATTTGTGACAAACTGTAAAGCATTAACCCATCACTGTACCCTGTATGCAAGGGCAGGTTTGCCTTCACTAACTGTACGGAGGCTCAGTCACTGGTACATTTTTATATACAAAGCCATGTTAGGGAAACTTCCATCCTACATCTGCTCCCTGATCTCACGGCGAATTGTAAGTGGCTACTGCCTGAGATGCTGTGGTTTTATTAAATGTGCCAACTGCTAGGACTGTCTTAGGGAAGATAGCTTTTAGATGCGCAGCTCCACTAACTTGGAACAGTCTGCAAAAGGAATGGAAACTGAGCAATTTGGTTCCACTAAATGTTTTTAAAGCAAGGATAGATGCTATCCAATCGGAAACTGTTGGAACCTGTAAATGTTACTAGCTATGTCAACTGTAGTCGCTGTAAATATGCTGTATGATGTCCTTTTTATTTTTCTGTTGTTTTATATTTATATGTATTCATGTGGAACCTACTTGCAGCAGGTCACCCTTGAAAAAGAGATCAATGATCTCAATGGGATTCACCTGGTTAAATAAAGGTTTGAAATGAAATGAAAAATGTAATAGATAAACAGTTAAAATAGTCTGCTAAAAGTGAGCTAAAATTAATGGATATTCTTTGTTGTACCTTAACAATACAACTAATGCTGTTAATACTTACTCAGCGGGGGGGATGTTAGCATCGGGACGAGCACCCAAGTTTCAGTCACACAGTCAACATTTCTCTGAATTTTCTATTATATATATATATATATTTTATATAGCCTTATAAACTGTAACAGCTCACCTGTGACGGTGACGGAGAGCAGACGGCTCTCAGAGGAGAAGTCATGAGAAAAAACAAAGACGTGATAAACACAGCTGTAGCTTCCCTGGTGGGCGGGCTCTGCAGAAGGAAACAGGAAGTGGGCAGAGTGATTGACAGCTGGCAGTGAGTAGTAGGTGTTTGCTGAGTTGATGGAGGTGAAGTTGAGCTGGAAGGAGCCTCCTGGGTACTGAGGCTGGATGGAGCAGCTGATGGTGAAGGTGGAGCCTCTGAACACCTGGAGCCCCTGCTGCTGGGCCCCGGAGACCCCGTACATGGAGGAGGACACAGAGATGTTGGGCTGAAACAGCAAGTCTGGAGAGAGAGAGAGAGAGAGAGAGAGAGAGAGAGAGAGAGAGAGAGAGAGAGAGAGAGAGAGAGAGAGAGAGAGAGGTGCTGAGGCTAACTGCCCCTCAGAGCCACTCTGACTAGTCTCACACCAACACTGCTCTCCAAACACCAATCACAGTCAAACGCATTATAACACAATGTAAAGACAACTATTTACAACATTGGAAAGAAGAAACTAAAAGCCAAAGTAGATTAGAATGTTACCTGGCTCTAAACAGAGATTATGAGCTGGTAGAATGTAGATGGTGCTGTTCTCACAGAATCAGCCCTTG